TGGCTGTGATTCTAGCCATCGCGCTTCGACTGCGACACTCCTCCAGCTCCTCTGTGTGGGACTGCTTCCAGCCTGGATTTTGTTCTGAGTCTAGGCCAGGGATTTCTCTCAACTACAGCGAGGGGACTCTGCCTTATTCCTACAATATGTGCGTTGGGAATACTGGAAAAGCAGAGTTAAATTTCCTGCAGTGTAGCGCCCCTTTGCCTTCAGCTCAAGAAATAGTTTGCAGTAGTTCTCCCGGAGCTTTAATTCCGCTTCACGATGGGGATGAGTTGACAAAACATCCTGAGACTCTAACGCCGGTAAGTTTCACTTTGCTCTTTCCTATTCCTAATTTTTCTTATTTAGGGCATAGTAACTTCATTTTCAGATCTAGGTTCATATTTGAAAAATCAGTAGCTAACCACCACCACCTTGTCTTCTCGATAATGAAGTGATGACTTTTCGTTCATAAGCTGATCTACTCTTCGGTGGAAAAAAAAAAACTTAAAAATTGGAGATCTCTGGTAAGGCTCTCACAATAGGAGTAAAAGTCTTGGGGCGGGAGCGATGGCTCAAGGGTGAAGAGCACTTACTGCCCTTGCAGAGGATATGGATTCAGTTCCCAGCACCCACACAGTGGCTGACAACCATCCATCTCTGTGATTCAGGAGATCAGGGAATCTGACATCTTCTGACTTCCCTGGACTCCAGGCATGGCGCACATATATGAGATCCAAACACCCATACACGTAAAATAAATTTTAAGCAGTATCTCGGGACTAAACAAACAACGCATCCAAGCAAGCAAGTTATATGCTTTAATGTCTAAGATGTTGAAGCATGCTTAGCCATCAGAATGGTGCACTTTTCCAGGAAAAACATTCATTGTTAGTAATTTCCGCTGCCTTCTGGTGTCTCCATTTGTTTTCTCATTTCTTCTCCACCCATGAGCACTTGGGGAGGTGACTGGGAAATCAGTTAACAGATCTTCCAGGTTCTGTCCAGAGTCAGATGCTTCTCTTGGGAGGTGACATGAAGTTTCGTTCATATTCCCAAGGTTTTGTGGCCCCAAAAGTTAGTATAACTACCCTAGCGTGATTTTCTTCTCTACTTTGGTTCCTCTAGCTTCCTTCCATATCATCATCCCTCCCTTTTCTTAGAACTGCTTTTGCACCTTTTCTTAATCTCTTCATCTACATCAAAAGAAAGAAATTATTTCCAAGAAAACTGTGAGAGTCGCTTGCGTTTTTGCTTTCAGTCCGTTTGTGATTTAGAATCTTTGAAAGAAAAAAATATATATAATTGGGTCTGGCCAATACCTGCCTAGAATTCCAGTGCTCAGAGGGCAGGGCCCTGCCTCTCAAAACTATAACAAAATATTTGAAGAGTGTCATACTGACTGAAACACTTTGTTTTCTCTATGAAAGAAGTAAACCTGTGACTCCTTCTGGAATGTGGGTGGGTAGACAAAGCTACGAATGCGTGGTCCACCTTCTTCACACTTCCAGATAAACTGCCTAGGAGAAGACATCGTTAATATTGGTATCGATGCTCCGATAAAATAGGACAATTGGCATAAAAATTCACTTATTCAGGGTTAGGGGTTTAACTCAAGTGTAAAGTACTTTCCTCACACCGTCTGATTCTCTACACTGAAAAAAATTCCCATCACTGTATCTTTGCTTTTGTTTCTGGTGCCTGAATGCTTGTACGTGTTTGTCTTCCCATTACAACACATTTTAGTAAGCAGCTATGGGGTTTGTTTCTTTTGCTTTCTAATTATTTGATAAACTCATTTCCAAATAGCCTAATTAAAATTTCAAAAGCAATCCTATATCAAAAAAAGTGCATTCTAAAAATAATTGTTAAGAATCAATAGGTTATCATGTCAGCCTCTTACGTTATTATAAAGTAAACAACACAATCAAATTGAAGAAATCTAAAATAGAAATCGTTCAAAATGAATTTTATCAAAAGGAGTCTAATTCTCTCCATGTGAACGGCTATCAAAGTTGTAAGACTTTTCAACACAAAATAAACATTATATACACAAAATGAACATATCCATTTTTAGTGGGTATGCTCCTGTTGGAAATAAGATACAAAGGTTATCAATTTAACTTATTACGCTCCGAAGTAAGAAACCTTGAGAAGGGCTCTGATACAAGTCAGTGATGGAGCATTTGTCTGCAAGCATGTGAATCCCTTCAATCTCACATCCTCTCAAAAAATGAACGAAGAAAGCAAAGGATCAATATAAAGGAAAATAATTCAACAGAAAAGATGCCCTTGCTGAGATATTGTAGTGGGTGCAGTACACTTCTTCGGACTCTGAGCGTCGCTGTTCACCTACGAGCAGCAAAAACGCTGCCAGAGCGCAGTTGGGATTCTCAGGGTCCAAAAGCTGAAAGCCTCACAGTTCATGCAAACTGGGTCCTGGGCTGCAACGAAAATCACTCCGGAATTTAAGGTGCTCCAGCTGCGGGAGAGTCCTGGGGCCATAGAAAGAAGAAAAGAACCAGGTGAAACACCCAGAGGATCGGGGAGAGCTCTGGGAGAAGTCTGTGCTCTGAAGACAATGGCCGCTCAAAGGAATCTCTCAGAGCGCATCAAACTGGTCCTCCTTTTCCTGTGGATGCCCTGGGAGTCCGCAGCCCGGCAGATCCGCTACTCGGTGCCGGAGGAGCTGGACAAAGGCTCCTTTGTGGGCAACATCTCCAAGGACCTGGGGCTGGAGCCCCGCGAGCTGGCGGGGCGCGGGGTCCGCATCGTCTCCAGAGGTAGGTCGCAGCTTTTCTCCCTAAACCCGCGAGGTGGCAGCTTGATCACTGCAGGCAGGATAGACCGGGAGGAGCTGTGCGCCCAGAGCGCGCCCTGTCTAGTGAGCTTTAACATCCTTGTGGAAGACAGGGTGAAACTTTTCGGGATAGAGATAGAGGTAACGGATGTGAATGACAACGCGCCAAAATTCCAAGCAGAAACTCTAGACGTAAAAATTAATGAAAATGTCGCCCCAGGAATGCGTTTTCCTCTCCCAGAAGCTATTGATCCGGATGTGGGCGTGAACTCTCTGCAGAGCTACCAGCTCAGCCCCAATAAGCACTTCTCCCTAGGCGTTCAGAGCGGTGCCAATGGCGTCAAGTACCCTGAGCTAGTGCTGGAGCGAGCCCTAGACCGTGAGGAAGAGGCGGTTCACCACCTGGTCCTCGTGGCCTCTGACGGGGGTAACCCTCCCAGATCCGGCACTGTCCTCATCACGGTGACTGTCTTTGATACAAATGATAATGCCCCAGTCTTCACCTCGCCTGAATACCGAGTGAATATTCCGGAGAACTTGCCTGTGGGCACTCAGCTGCTCAAGGTAACCGCTACGGACAAAGACGAAGGCGCCAATGGAGAAGTGACGTACTCATTCCGAAAATCACCGGACACACAATTGCTGAAATTCCAACTAGACAAAAAGACTGGGGAGATAAAAATATCTGAGAATCTAGATTATGAGGAAACGGGTTTCTATGAGATAGAAATCCAAGCTGAAGATGGAGGGGCCTACCTCGCCACTGCAAAGGTGCTCGTTGCCGTGGAGGATGTAAATGACAACAGCCCAGAGGTAGCCATCACTTCTCTCTTCAGTCCCGTCACTGAAGATTCGCCGGTGGGAACTGTCATAGCCCTTTTAAACGTGCATGATTTAGACTCTGGGCGGAATGGAGAGGTGACCTGTTCCATCTCGGGGAACCTGCCATTTACATTAGAGAAGTCCATTGACAGTTACTATAGGCTGGTGACACAGAGGGCCCTTGACAGGGAACAGGTACCCTCTTACAACATCACAGTAACGGCCACGGATGGGGGGAGCCCACCTCTGTCAACCAGAGCGAACTTCACCCTGCAAGTGGCAGATATCAACGACAACCCACCTACCTTCTCTCGCGCATCCTACTTCACCTACATCCCCGAGAACAACCCCCGGGGCGCCTCCATCTTCTCGGTGACCGCCCTGGACCCAGACAGCAAAGAGAACGCCCAGATCATTTACTCTCTGGCCGAGGACACGGTTGAGGGGGCACCGCTTTCCTCCTACGTCTCCATCAACTCCGACACGGGCGTCCTGTACGCGCTCTGGTCCTTTGACTACGAGCAGTTCCGTGAACTGCAGGTGCAGGTGAGTGCTAGAGACAGCGGGAAGCCCCCGCTCCATAGCAACGTGTCCTTGACGCTGTTCGTGCTGGACCAGAATGACAACTCGCCAGAAATCCTGTACCCCTCCATTCCCACTGACGGCTCCACTGGGGTAGAGCTGGCTCCCCGCTCAGCAGAGCCTGGATACCTGGTGACCAAGGTGGTGGCGGTGGACAGAGACTCCGGGCAGAATGCCTGGCTGTCCTACCGCCTCATCAAGGCCAGCGAGCCGGGGCTCTTCTCGGTGGGGCTGCACACGGGCGAGGTCCGCACAGCGCGGGCCCTCCTGGACAGAGATGCTCTCAAGCAGAGTCTGGTGGTGGCTGTGCAGGACCACGGCCAGCCCCCTCTCTCTGCATCGGTGACCTTGACTGTTGCAGTGGCTGACAGCATCCCTGATGTTCTTGCTGATCTGGGCAGCCTGGAGCCACCGCAGGACTCTGAAACCTCAAACCTCACGCTCTACCTAGTAGTGGCGGTGGCAGCGGTCTCCTGCGTCTTTCTCGCCTTTGTCATTGTGTTGTCCGCGCTCAGACTTCGGCGCTGGCACCAGTCTCACGTGCTGCAGGCTTCGACAGACGGACTGGCTGGAGCGCCTGCCTCTCACTATGTGGGCGTGGACGGGATGCGAGCTTTCCTGCAGACCTATTCGCACGAGGTCTCGCTCACTGCGGATTCGCGGAAGAGTCACCTGATCTTCCCGCAGCCCAACTACGCAGACACGCTCATCAGCCAGGAGAGCTGCGAGAGAAAAGACCCTCTGTCTCTGCTAGATGATTCCAAGTGTCCGGTAGAAGACGCCCCTTTGGTGCCAGTGAGTCCTAATTTTACTTTTTCTTTAACCAGTTATGATCGGGCTTACTTTTAGACCTGAAACCAGCTGGTGGGAAAATAGATCTCTGTTTTAAAACCACTTCCCGGGCTAGAGAGATGGCTCAGAGGTTAAGAGCACTGGCTGCTCTTCCAAAGGTCCTGAGTTCAATTCCCAGCAACCATGTGCTGGCTTTCAACCATCTGTAATGGGATCTGGTGCCCTCTTCTGGCCTGCAGTTGTACATGCAGACAGAACACTATATACATAACAAATAAATCTTAACAATAAAACCACTTCCCTCTGTTCCAGCCACACTCACCTATTGCTAAACATTAAAGAACAGAATCTGTGGTTAAAACTGTGTCGCAAACTTTGTGATGAAAACCACGTAGGTTGCCAGGAGGTTGTATGAATAGCCTTTGCAGAATCTTGTGTTCTATTATGTGCTGAGCACAGCACTGATGGTTTCTAAAAGGGAACTTCACACGGAAGTGTCTTGATTTTTTTTTTTTTTTTGTCCTCTTCACTGCAAGCTCATCGCCCTTTTGAAGGCGAGTCTGTCAAAATTAGGCAAATGTCAGAAACAAACGCATGGCCCCGCCAGACACACAAGCCAAGTACAAGGCTGTTCATTGCTGTCCTTGAAGGACAAAGTCGGTATGTCTTTGCAGTTATAGTTTTCAAACAATACCTGAATATACTTCTTGGAGTTTATAAGTCTTTAATTAATATAATGGACAATTCATTACTATGTTTGGAATCTCTATAACCATCATCATGCCCATTTGCCCAGTGGCATTCCTTTTGCATATAGCTATGTAACATCTTACTATATGAAAGATACAGTCTTTTAACCTGATTTTCCTTGCCCAACAAAAATGCCAAGAAGTTGTAAAAGGTTAAATTAAGAAGATTGTGGATTCTCTTTGTCTTTTTATTTTTTCTTCAAAATTAAATGTGCCAGTAATTCAGGCTAAAATGTTTAGGGGTGGATAACATTGTGCATGTTCCCAGAAACAGAAGCTAAACACCTGTGATAAGAACATTTCCTCCTTAATGTTGAAGGAAACTCAACAGAAACCCAGAAGTGCTGGGGCGAGCCTTGGAGTAACCTAAGCACTTAGAGCCAATAAATATAAATAAAATTGCCAGTTCTTCAAGAGATCAGAATTTAAGCAAAGATGGACATGAAACTCTTCTGAATAAATGATTAGTGGAGGTATTGAGTTCAAGAAAAATAGTGATAGATGTGATATGATCTTTGGTTTCATTAATAGTCTATGCAAGTTACTACAATAAAGAGTTAGTCTGCAGAGTCTCAAAATACACCTGAGACCATGACACTTTTCTGTCAACACCTGGTTAGCTGTGGATCCATGGGTAAGTACACTCTCTGGAGTTATAATACTATCACTGAAACTATTGTCCAATATCTTTGTCCAAGATCTTTATTACAAGAGTAATAATTACTATGTGTATGCTTCAGTTCTATTACTTAAAACATGCAAGCCTCAACAGCACTCTTTTGACGTTGCAAATATTCTATTAAAAGTTTAAAAACAATGCTAAACATCCTGGATGATTGAATAGAGCCAGGGTTGCATTCCAGTGCCTAAATATGGATGGAAGAGTTTTTATTTTTTAACTGACTAGACCTAGAGTTTATGACAAAGAATAATTATCCTCAAAAGGAGCGATAGTCATTTCCTATGGATGGAAGATTTGAGTAACAGAGGACCATCGGTTAGTGAAGAAGTGGGCCTTCACTTTTATTTTCATTCCTTTTAATGTGAAGAAAATAGGCCTTTAATCTACTCAAAATAAGTATAAGGCTTTTAAATATAAACCAGAATATTTATTATTAAATTTTCCACAATGAAAGCAAAGTCAATAAGACACAAAAATCAAATATTTTGGCTATCAACTTGCACTTATATAAAATAAAAGATTTCCCAAAAAATTGAAACAGTAGACTGCAATTCCACTCATAGCCTCTGGGCGCCGCTGTCGGCCAGTGCAGCGCAAGCTCCCGGGCTGGGGATCCCTCGGTCTCTGGGCTGAAATTTCCTGCGCAGAAACAAATACACACCAAGGGGAACTCTCACTCACAGAGACTAAGACTCCGATTCCCGGCCCCAAACCGGGGTCCGGCTGTGCAGGACAGAACGCACCTCCTCCGCGGTGGACTCCACTCTCCCCTACTGGAAAGATCCGAAGACCTAAGAGAACCAGAGCAGCGATGGGAGGGAGCTGCGCGCACAGGCTGC